GGCGCGGCTCATCTCTGCGGTTCCAGCACCAGTGCAAAATGAAGATGCACTGCCACAATGTTGTAGCCAAGACGCCTGAGCAGAATCGAAGACAAATTGCAACCAAGACTGACTATTTATTTTAATTTTGTCATTGTCACGTCACTACCGTCGACAATAATATTTTAATTTTGTCATTGTCACGTCACTACCGTCGACAATAAATTTAAAAAATAAATAAAAATAACATATTATGTATTTAAACTAGTGACTCTCAAGTCTTCAATAGGCAGAAGTCCATGGACAGTGCGCCAGGCAAGCTCAATGCCGTTGGCAGCATGTTGAAGGCGTGTCCAATCATAATTGTCCTGTCAGGAAGTGTCAGTCAGTCAGTCAGTCAGTCTGAGTGTCCAGTGTGTATTTATTTAACAGACTACAGGTAACCAGTCACTTAAAACTTAAAAACATGCAATCTTACACCAGTCAGACGGTCCTGTGAAAGTGGCACAGTCTGTGAAATCGGCACATCGTCTTCAGATATGCTAGGAGTCATCGCAGATTCAATTGGAGTGCATGGCTGTTGATGTGCAGCCATTGCCGCGTCAGTCAGGTTCGTTATTTCCAATAACACAATACAATGATTCAATCAATCAATCAATCATGGTGTGAAAATTACATGTCATGTGACCTGTTAGTCCATAATCATTGTTGAACGAATGCTGTTAACTGCCTCCGCCAGATTTTGAACCCGAGTCTGTGTGAAAATTCAAACCCGTGTACAATTCTGTCGGTGACTGGCAGACTGACTGAACGCCAGGAGTCTTGACTAAGACGCTATTGCGAAGATCAAACCGGCCGTCGACGGACTGAGCCAGCCGTCTAGTAGTGTGCATAGTCTAGTCTAGTGACATCATTTGTTTTATTTATGATCATGATGTGGGCGGCAGTCTGGCATAGTTGAGTCGTGGACGATGCTGACTCAATCTGAGCCGCGTCGCAATGTAGGTCCGTCGTCTGACTTGACCGTCGCCAGCCATCATTCGAGTTTTTGCCATCTGGGGACATCACGAAACCATGGATTTCTTCGGGGCCGACAGAGGCAGCACTGGCAAATGTCATTGCATTCTGTCTTGATCCGTGCCTTGGCTTCATCGTGAATTATTCGAGTATGCAATGCCCATAATAATTGGCAAAAACTAGTCTGATTGTCTGCTGTTTGTCACTGTCCTGGACTGATAGTACAGTACAGCAGGACCAGGGACAGGGACTCGGACTGGCACTAGCGACTACCTGGTTGCTCAGCCTGGTATCACAACGTGTCAGGAGCAACACCAAGCCAAAGACTACCTGGCAGCCGATGAGAAGGAAAGCGCTGGCGCTGATGTCTCAAATCACTACTGCTTTGGCGTCTCAATTGAATTTAACTAGTTATTGCAAATGTTTCGAGTACGGTTTCCCATACATGTCGTAAGGCTGTTTACAGTACAGGTCAAAACTTTTTCTTTCAGATCAGTTTGATTCCAAGCATGTTCACTAATTTTCTGCAATGTCAAGACTTTGACTTGACTCTTCAAGACTGACCCACACTGCTACTGTCTGTCTGACTGACTGTCCTGTGAGGAAGCCTATTTGCGATCCAGACCACGAGCAGAAGCTGCAAGTAGACGGAAGCCAAAGACGCGGCTTACCTTACGCCAGAGGCATGAAATCTTGGATGATGTGCGAGCTGGGAGGCCAGAGTGAGTCATCAAGAAATCATCTGTTTTTTTGGTGGACTGGACATGTCTGTCAGTCTGACTGAGATAAAACGATAGCGGACCGGATTGGCAGAGGTCTCAAGCCATAAGATGGGAACCAGGGCCTCAGGGGTAGTAGTGAAGCAGTTACGGTTTACCAAACTCCAATTCAATGCTCTCGTCATCAAACGTCGTCTCCATTTGTCAATTTGTCTAGGTACTTTACGATTTCCAAGTCTTTGGCAGCCAAACACGTCACCCATCATTCTCACTGGCTATGTCAGTGGGACATGGTGCCGGGCCTGAACAATAAGACTATTATTTTTTATTATTATTTTGGGATGATTGAATATAATATTAATTAGTTCTTGTATTGAAGTAGCATTCGATAACGACCGACTAAGTTGCTCTACCTGCGGAAAGCCAAAGCGGCATTTGCTGGCCAGCAACACCTCCATGATGCTCAGCTGAACCAATGCCACCACTCCCAAAGCAATTGGGATTGACAGACTGACCGATCCGAATCTTTAGTCTTTGATTTGCAGCTGGGTATCGAGAGGTGGCGCGTAGGCTCCCAAATTCAGAACCGGGCCTCAGAGGACAGATTGAAGTCTATATGATTGCACTTTTCTTACTAACACGACTATTTGGTTGAATTGGGGCAGACCAACACCTGCGCTACTTGACAATCAAATCGATGGTGAAATGTCTAATCCGTCCCCCGCTGTTCAGCCTTATCAGTCAGTCAGTCGGTCGTCGTCGTCGTAGTCGTCAGTCAATCGTTGCGTATCAAGTGGCAATAGACCTTGTATAGCTCCACGGATACTTTCTGCACACTTGATCCATCGAATAGTACCTCAGACTCAACTATTTAAGCCAGAAAGATTTGTAAGTTTCACATGACTTGACTGACTGGGTTTGGTTGAGTCACATGAATCGATTCGATCAGCTGAATGCATAATGCATGACTTGAAAGAATCCATTTTTTGGCAAGGCCCAAACAACAACTCAAATTCCTAATTAAGCCTGCCTGCCTGACAGGTTCTCAAACCCCCATACTTGCAAGATATTGGCGACATGCTGGTGATGAAGAAGCCAGTGCAAAGGAAAGGAATCGGTAGAACCATAGCGGAAAGTGAAATGGTCCATTCCTTTGCGTTGCAAAATATGACAGAGTCAAATTAAAATAAAACAAATTTCATTGTTTTGATGTGGTTGAATCCTCAGAGCTCAATTTCAATATGGCCGCAAAACTACAGCATTGGTATCACGAACAAAGGTGAGTGTCCACCAACTACTTCAGGCCGGATAGTCAAATACAATTCCAACTTCTGGCATGCAGTGATCAGCTCCGAAAGAAAAGCCACTGTTCTCCTTCGAACATCGCGATGTCCTCGAGCTGATTGAAGTGTCCAAGCCACCGCAGCAAGCACCATGGATGTGGGCAGAGTCTTGTCAGCGAAGATCCTGGTATCCATCACCTGAAAAGAAGCTGGGCCGTTGCGCGCAGGGTGACCAGGTGCACGAGTCAGTGGCGTAGTACTAGTCACCGGTTCATAAATCTGCTAACTGTGTTATTACTGCCTGCCAGTGGGAGAGTCATAGTAAAATTATTTGTTGACTTGAGGGCTCTGATTGATATGTTCTGATTCGGTCCTGCCAGTCAGTGTCAGTCGTCCAGTACAATCAATTTACTCACGTGAGTGAGTAAGGTCACCCAGGTCCCCTTTGACTGTTTGATCCAAAGCACGGCATTCTTTGAATGTGTGCTATCTTTCAATGAATGTGTCGTAGCACCGTCCAAGATCATAGGACAGCTATCCTCACCCCAAATCTCTTTGTGAATCTTCATGATCGCGTTGAAGTATCTGTTCAACTTGCCTCCTCAACTGAGTAACTGGCAGCTGTCATTTTTTGACACTGGACCTTCTTTCGGAAGACTAGTTAGTTAGTTACTACTGTCGGTCGTCGGTGTTATCAAAATGGCCGAACCAATCAATCCAGCCAGTAGTAATACCAGCAAATTATTCGTAAAAACAAATTGCCCTTTAAAGTTGAATTGAGCTTCTAGCTGACTGCTTTTCTTCCCGTCTCATTTTGGAAGTGTCGACAGTATCCCGCAATGCCATCCACACATCCAGAGCAGACCATTGCGACTCAAGGCCACATTGCTCAGAGACAAACACCCGGAGGAAATGGCCCACACCTAGATAGACCTTATCCTCCGGGCCAAAGTCGAGCTCCGTTGGGGGCTGCATTCGAGCCCACGCTTCTGTTTCAGAAGTGGTTTCAAGACAGTGCAAGAACGCATCAACAGTGCTCAAGAGTTGCTAAGAGTTGCTAAGAGCTGTTACGAGTGAGTTAAGAGTGATTTTCAGTGGTGTTTGTCCTTAAGAGCAGTTATGAGTTGGTTACGAGTGGGTTATGAGTGAGCTACGAGTGGGTTATGAGTGGATAATGTTTCAAGGAAAAATCCCCTGGTTGAAAGGGGTTTCCCGAAGGGGGTCTCTCATCTCTTCTATGATGACATGCTAACAAATGAACGAATTGCGACAATTGTCACTACAAGAAACATCTGAGATTTCCGCATCAACTTTGAGGGCCAAGGCGGGGGCCTCATCTATGTCCTTGCCCCGAGGCCATCGACCACAAGCATCTGCACACCCAAAATCCTTAAACTTCCGCACTTGGACCCAAGCTTTGTTGGAGGATTGGGCAGATTTGGCCTCACATAGAGCCCTCATGTCAATGGGCCAAGTGCTGCAAGCGACGTGAACAGCCTGGCTCCTCCGAAGGAGCGCTGCAACCGCAGGGACCAAGGGCTCTTCAGCCTGATTCTTGTTATCAAAGCTCTTGCAAGCTCCACAAATAATAGCAGCAGCACAGTTCCACATAGTTCCACATTCCACGGCTCATTCACAAAGGCGCTGGCTGGTCTGCAGTTTCGTGGGTCACGGGGCTGTTTGCCGTCGATCCGCCACTTCAGCTTGTAAGGCTTGCCAGCTCTGCCCCGGCTTCGAACACCAACCTAAGTCTGACATTGCAAGTAGAATCAATTATATAGAGGACGCTGAGACCATTTGTGCACAGTTGACTGGACCGATGTCGATTGAGGCAATGGCCTTTCCCATTTTGGGCTTGGCAGTTTGCCCGCCTAATCCCTTCTGGTGAAACTCAGAGTTCGAGCCATCTGGTCGGAGTAGTTGGTTCTGAGATGTTCTGAGGCACATTCCCAAGAACTCCACAGCAATTGGAAGGCAACAACGCCCCAGCCACATTCCACGCCTGATACTTCAAGTTTTCCAAGGAATGCAGGAAAGCGCGTTCCCATGTCCTTCACACAGACCGGAATGTCAACTGGCAAACATCAACGTCTTTCGACTAAGCTTCTTGCTGCATGCTGGTGGTCTTTTGTGTCGGGAGCTCTTTGGTACCCATCGGAAGCCGGAAACGCCTACTGCACGGAAGCTACCGAGACCGTGGGAAGTAAGAAGGCTAAGAAGCAAGCCCGGCAAGCGCCAGGCTCTTGAATGATGTTCTGCGCTGCTGTACGGGTGCACAGGGCCCTTTCGGGGGCCTTCCTAGAGCTGTGGAGCGCAGGAACTGTTGCTTTGGAACTGCTTAATCTTGAAGCCCTTCTGAAGGATTCCAGACTGGCAGTTCCAAGCAACACATCATGAATTCTTGGCACCATTTGGCACCTGTGGCCATGTCTGCCTAACTCACCAGAACTTGGCCAATCGCACCTTCGGAGCACCTCCAATCAATAGCTGAGCAAAGCTTGGAAACATGTGGACACCCTTTTGATGCCTGGCCTGATCTATGCCGGCGTGCGCAAAGGCACCCCCTCAACATGAGCAGCTGAACAGCATGAAACATATATAGCATGTCAATCTTCTTGTGCACCAGCAGGGAAAACAAGTGCCGAAACTAGTGACAAAGTATATAGTATATATATATGTTCTCATCCAATTCAACAATCATTCAGCCACCGTTTGTTCAGAGTACATGTTACATCTTTTAGATACGTTTGGAATATCACTCAACCGGATCTGCCTGCTGAAGCCGACAGAGCTCTTGGATCTGCCTCCAGCAAACGAAGCAGCTGTCAAAGCGTGCTGGGGCTGGGGTGTGGTGTGGCTCGTGCCTTCGAACTGCGGTACGGCATCCAATTCCTGCAAAATTGGTGAGCGATCAGAAAGACTTGAAGCCACAGCTGCCAACCCAAACCTTGAGGACGAAATCCAGCGCAGCGTGCGGGCATCGGCCAATGGATGGTAGCAGCCCCTGACAGAGACCCGCAGAGACACATGGCAACTTCTCGCTGATTCTCGCTGACTAGTCACCAATTGTGGCTCATACATGCTGAAATCATATACGTATAATATGCACATAATTATGCAACATACAGTAATTATATGTATAGTATTTTCATATAATGTGCATCGAGTCCTACGATAGGACTTTGCAGCACTGCAATGCTTTACAGTACCCTCATTCATGGGGCCTTGGCAAGTGCTTGTCGCGCATGTGCAGGCAGCGTGGGAAAAACACCAGACCATTCGTGGAAGAGATACCTTCACAGTGCACCAGATTGCTGTCTGAGCTTGGGTTCCCCAAGACCATGACAGGGAGGGGCTACTGAGGCTGGCACTCCATCTGCTCTCCTCTCTGCATGAGCTTGTCCATGACATGCTCACACTGCGTGAACCTTCAGGGATGGCAGGCTGCCTAGAAGGGCAGCCATTCGATCACACTGGGCATCGCTGAGCAATGAACGTAAGTCCTTCATGAACCAATAGCTCCTCACTCAGCTCAGCATCTGCAGCCCCAGACCATTGCTCCATTGCTACTAGGCTTAAGTATGCTCCATTTGCTTACAAAATCTTAAAGGCTAGTAGGTTGGAGGCCATCGCTCTTAGGTTGGAGGCCATAGCTCCTCACTCAGCATTGCTCAGCATCTGTGTTTGAGAAGGGTGTTCTGCAACTACCCAAGCCTTGAAGACTGCATCGATGACTTCAGCGGGAAGCTCACGGTCCATATCGTAGACCTCGCTAGCACCAAATTAAATGAAACTTCTAGGAGCCAAGTGTCCCTAAATCTAGGAACCAAAAGCTACTAGGGGCTCCTGGCCATACTACTAGGAGCAAGGACGCTACATCTAGGACCCGAATAGTGCGAGCGTGAGCTTTCCTGCGGCAAAGCCTAGTAGCTTCCGGATAGCGTAGTAGCTACCATTCTTACATACTTAGCTGCACTAGCTACTTGTTAAACTACCTTGCGGCCTACCCCCCCGCCCAAACGTTGTCTGAAGCTGCCTCTTCAAACATCGCTGTCACCATGGCATCAAAGAATTCAGGCCTCTTCTTGCGGAATCGCAAAAACATTTTTGGCTCATCTTGGCTCTTTGAACATCTTGGATTCTGGACAAAAGGTCTCATGATGTGCCTGGTGCGAATGTAGCGACATACCAAGTAGAGGAAATCTCTGCTACCTTACAGCAACATCATCCATGCAATATCAATATCCATGCTGTAATTGTTTGGATGTGATCAGCCAAGAGGCCCCAGAAGAAACCTGTGTGGGGCATCGCCCTGATGCTGCCATGAGCACCTTTGGCCTGTCATCTCAAAATCATCTTGCGAAGCATCCGTGAAAGGACGTGGACTCTTTGGCCCCCGACAAATGCCAAAAGCCTCAGAAATTCCCAATTCGTTTGAGAGTTCTGATGCCCCAAGCACAGAAAAACACATGAAGTTCCGACATGACCGGTCTGATTTGTGGGTCTTTTGAGGACGCTCCATGCGATCACAGTGCCTGGGCGCCCCCACGTCGCTGCATTCTCCCGAGCCAGCCTTGGCCAGGCCTCGCGCCGGTCGATGACCTTCTGGACCACACGCCACACCTTTGCAGAACTCAAGTTCAATTTCTTTTGGGAACAACAAATCAAATGTCCAAGGAGCTCTACAAATCTCTCTCACTCTCTCTCTCTCTCTCTCTCGAAAGGTGGTCTTTCAAGTGCACCAAATCTGATGCGACTGCCAAATTGTGCCACGCCTTGCCATCAGCAGTGTGGAGCGCACTGGAGATCATTCCACGCACCTGCTCAGTGTCAGGCAGGCCAGCTGGCTCTGGGCAAAATGGCCTCGGTATCCATGTTTTGCAGTCTCGCCCCTGTTTCTCAATACACTCGATTTGCCTTCCTGAACATTCTTTTCGTCTTCTTCTGTGTTACTTCTCCATACCACACCACTCCTGTCTCTGAGTTCATTGGATGTGCTTATCTATGTTGAACTGGGGGTTGTTCGGCAAGGTTGTGGTTTAAAATTGCTTGCTAGCACCTATATAACTGAACATGCTCCCTGAATCTGACACCGCTGTGGCCAGCACTGAGCTGCAGCTGCTAGCTCTTGGATGGCAGGCGGCAATCTAACAAGAAACATAAACATTTCCGGGAAAGGAAGCGGTCAACTTTGAATACGTTGAAATACGCTGAATTCATGCCGCAAAACATGTAAAAAAGAGAAATTCAATTTCCTCACATGTCTCGCTTTCCTGTCGGTGAAACGTCGAAATCTTCGACAAGAATGCTAGTCAGGTGAACTATGCTTTCCAAACCATTAAACAATTTTAATGCTCGCTCTGGACTCTGGATCATTGCCCAGGTCAAAGCCCCCTCACGCCCAGTGTCTCCATGAATCGCACTCATTGGCACTTATTGGAATCGCTGGAAAAGGCCGTTGAAAAAATCCTCGGAAAACATGAATGATCATGAATGTCATCACAGCAATTTGTGATACTTTGGGGGCCCCACCCTTGATCACATTAAAGGTGCTGCAAGCTGCAACTAGCCAAGAAAAAAACGCCACAAAGAAAGCCTTTGGAAGTCCAAGATATTTACTGTTGGGTCGTGACGGGTCGTAAGGACATTGTGTGATGGCCTCTAACCTAAATCCGATGGCCTCCGATCCAATAGTGGAGTTCTGCCAAGTTGCGATACCTTTGATTTGATTGGGGTCCAAGCCGTACTGCTCAGCCAGCAGCTCCTTCACAGCCCTCAGCGCTCGACAATTGGGCGAACACGCACTTCGACATTGGTTTTCAGTTAACTCAATTTCCAGGAAAAATGGTGATAGAACGGCACGGTGAAAGGTCCGATGAGTTGAAGGTGGTTCCACAAAAGGTTTGCTCACAATGACATGCTGCAAAACGCGCGGCTGTTGAAAAAGGCTGGAGGAAGAAAGGTTTGGGGGAAGTATCATGGAACCACCATGAATCAAACCGAGCGGATTGGACAGCTTGTGCAAATGTTAATCGCAGGTACACATCCATGGCCAGTGGATGCTTCCCTCTCTGATGCGTAGCTTCGTTGGACAGAGTAGCATCAGAGAGCTCTGTCCCCCTGCTGGAAACGCGAGAACCCTTCGGAACAGGGCTGGACACACACACGGTGCCGCTTGGCGGCGCTCGTGTGAGAAACCTGAATAGATACCTAAAAAGCCTTAGAAACGAAAGAAAGAAAGACAGAAAGAGCAGCGCTAAGAGGGCAAGAGAGAAAGATAGGTGTAGAGAAATGAAAAATGAATACTTAGCCCTTGACTGGGGTAGGGAAACGAGCCTCAAGAGCCACCTAAAAGCCTGAGAAAAAGCCCAACAAACGACGAAAAGCGCAAGAAGGAAAAGGGAGGGCAGGGAGGGGGTGTATGTCCATGTGTGTGTGTGTTTGAATACCTAGCACTCTAGAATTACTGAATACTTAGACGAAGTGAATTCGGTGCACTAGTTAGAGAGCGGGACTCTTGTCTTCCACCACCCGGGTAGAGTAGACTAGAAAAGGGACAACAGAGGGAAAGGCACCGACACACAAGTGTGTCGAGTACCATTTCCCTATGTTACCCTAATTAGGTAGGGAGTAGAACACAGTAGGGGGGGGGGTCGGGAGACCTGCCTCAAGGGGGAAAAAGCCGTTTTTAAGCCCGGCGGCTATCAAATTCGTTTTAGCCCGACGGCTGTGTGAGCAGTGAATTCAGGGTGGAGAAGGAGCGGTTGAGGAAAAGTCAATGAAAGAACGATGAGTCAGTAACACGATTTCCGGCATGCAAACGGCGCCTCCTTGATCACACCCAGCACCCATGTGGGACGGCTGAGCGGCTCACACTTCGACATTGGTTTTCAGTTAACCCAATTTCCAGGAAAAATGGTGATAGAACGGCACGGTGAAAGGTCCGATGAGTTGAAGGTGATTCCACAAAAGGTTTGCTCACAATGACATGCTGCAAAGCGCGCGGCTGCTGAAAAAGGCTGGAGGAAGAAAGGTTTGGGGGAAGTATCAT